AGTCCCTGTTTCCCCGAGCACTGCCAGGAGTGACTAGGAATAACGGTCACAAGCTGGCAGAGGGGAGATTCAGACTAGACATCAGGAGGCACGACTTCACGGTCAGGGCAGCTAGTATCTGGAACCAACTTCCAAGGGAAGTGGTGCTGGCTCCTACCCTGGGGGTCTTTAAGACAAGGCTAGATAATCACCTTGCTGGGGTCGTTTGACCCCAGTACTCTTTCCTGCCATGGCAGGGGGTCAGACTCGATGATCTGTTCAGGTCCCTTCTGACCCTACTGACTATGAAACTGTAAATGTCCTCAGATCATTAAAGCCATTGCATGGTAGCAATTTAAGCTGATTGTTTATAGTGTGCATGGAGTAAACTCATAATATTTGAACACATAAGAAAATTCCCAAAGTAAGAAAATCCCCAAATTATATTAAGACAGAATTAAGGATCAGAACAATTGTTCAAAGGTAAAAATAGTTACAGGGAGATTGAGATTGTCCCAAAATCTAACATTTGGAAAACCAAGAGATTCAGAATTAAGGTTATGCTGACATCCAGAGATAGTAAGGTCATTGAAAACCAGTGATCTCACTTGCAGACACCAATGAAATTAATACCTTGGCAACACTGCTGCACATTAACAGTGCAGAACACAGTTACAGGTGTGTGTGCACTTGAACTGCACATTCACATGACTTACCTTGCCACAATTTCTTACAAGTGCAGCCTTAACTCAACCTCCTGGATTTGTAAATCTTGGGTTTGCCATAGTAACACCCCTGCATTTTTTTAATAGTTCCATTTCTACAGAAAGTTTTTAAAAGCCATCAGTTTTAGAAACCGCATGTGATGACTACCTGATATGTTAATCTATATGTACTCCCAAAACATCTAAGTTAGTGGTTTTGAACCTGTGGTCTGTGGACCGCTGGGGGCCTGCAAATCATGTCTAAGGAGTCCGTGAAAGATGACTATAATCAATCAAAAGTATGTGAATACCCACATTACAATTCAAAGGGGTCTGCACCTCCATTCAAAAAATGTTAGGGGTCCACAAATGAAAAAAGGTTGAAAACCCCACATCTAGGTATATGTAAAGATGACTCCTGAGCTAAGCACTCCAGACTGTGAATTCGCCTACCTCACTATCATGGTGTTTTACGATTTGCAGTTCAAAGAACTCTTCTTCCTCTTCTCCAGCGAGAGTTGCATCCCATCCACCAGCTTCTGGGTCATCAAGGTTATCTTGAGAACTGAAATCATCCGCTACAAGCAAAGAAAGGCTCAAGGTGTTAGGAAAAACAAAAGTACCGTAACCCTATTCAACGTGGTGGCTGAAGTAGCATCATTAATCCCCGTAGTGGTTCAACACACCAGTCTGGAACACCTCAGAGTTTTACCTCAATGTGGGATACGGCATTTCTTGTTCTAAACTGCAGTAATACTGTACAAAAAATCATGCGACTTTTGGAAGCTGTTGACGTGAAGTGTGCTGCAAGAAGCCCTATGTGCCTTGGAGCATGTAGCAGGTGTTTGAAATAGTTTTAGACCTGGTTACATCAAAATTATAAACATACATGCCACACTGCACAGCTAAGGTATTTCTAGTGGTATCACAACTACATTTAGAAACCAGTCTTATTAGAGCAAGGAATCTATACAAGTTTCAGTGTGCACAATTTAAAAAGCAAAGTAGACTGAGCTGCTGAAGTCTCTTGCTATTAAGAAAGTTTTTCCCAGACTCCGAATCATGTTTGTAGCTTTTTTCTGAGCGCGATCCAGTTTGTCAACATTTGCTTCGTGACATGTGGATGCTACAAATGAACAAAGAATTATCAAAGGGTCTCACAAGTGCCACACAAAGGTTATACCACCTCTGGGCTCCTACTGGTTGTTTAAACAGCCAAGAGCAGAGCTGCTTCACTGCAGCAACACACCAGAAGCTTATCTGCAGCTAGGATCAATCCCACCGTGGTTCCTGAATCCTGCTGCAGAATCAACGATTTCCAGTCTACAACTCCTAACAAGCATATCCTACATAATTTGCTCCTATATGATGTATGATTTATTAAAATGCTAATCACTGAAATGACCCCAAGATTAAGATCACTCTCCAACTAACCTGCCCCTAGTTACCACTCTACCAATTAGTGGCATATGCAAATGTTATCAGCATGGGATTTTTTTCTTTTTCTTTTTTGCCTTGGCAACAACCCCCTAGAAACCCTCCCACTGGCTTTTGCTGTTAGCTTCTCATCTTAATTCCCTTTAATGTTACTTTAATTTTTTTGTTCCTCTCTCATGTAGTTAAGGTCTGCAAAACAGAGTATTAAAATGTATGATTCATTCTGTATACAACTGCCATGTGATTTGGAGCATTAAACAATATGGGCTGAACAAAATAATGCTCTTCTAATAAGTCTTTTCAAATTAAACTACCTGTCATTCAAAGAATGTCTTCATTTTATTAGCTTGCTTTTAGCCTATAATGTTGTTGGCTAAACAAAGTCTGTTGCAGAGCACTTTGTCCTCAAGAACTACTTACCATTTAAGTCAAGGAAGATAACAGGAATATGAGTCTCCATACCAGGCACTGGAGTCCTAAAACATAAGGAAGGGATAATAGTGGCATTTAAGCTGAAGCAAATAAACTCAGTACACATTCCTTATGATACAAGCCCACACAGTACATTACATTTGGTAGAGCTGTGACTAGTTTGAGCCAATGATAACCTTGGCCAATGGCTTTATTTTAATTTACTGTTGCAGATTCAGGACTTAACTAAATTGGCACTTCTTTTATACCAGCTCTCTCACAATTACTATGTTCTTTGACCTCTGCTTTCAGAAATGTTTTCTTGCCACTAAAACGCTCATCGTAAAATTAAGTTTCTTTATTTATTCTGACGTCCGCATTTATTAAAGGCAAAAAACCTCTGCCTTAGCAATATAACTGACTGTGACACAGTTAAGTCCGTTAGGACATCCAGTATTAAAGCTCCAAAAGCAACATTAACTCTGCCACGCGGCATGGCCACTGACTTGTTATTAAGTGTATGCATTTAGCAAGAAAAACAGAAATAAAAAATTGTAGGTATGTGCTCTGAGACCAAATGGAAGTTGCTATACAAATGTTAACATTAAAGCCACAACATACTAGAAAGTTAAACTTTGCAACCTTAATGCTGCATTTTCCATTTAGTTTCCCAAAATCCTCACACTTGAGCAAGTTGCAAGTTTAAAACAGAAACTTTGCTGCAACTTTAACAATGGGGCAGCTACCAACGCCTACGTTAGCCTGTGGAACATTACACTAAGCCAGAGTAGGCCTGAAGTCCTCTGAAACGGGCAAGTTGCTCGAGTCAGTCTTTGTGCGCTTCCCCAGCAGCAGCTGCATTCATGGCAAGTTTCTCCTGAAGCATGCATCTTCCAGCCATGTGGCTTTCAAACTCTAGCTCTTTAGATTTGAAAGATAGCATGTGCATAGTCCCCAGTGTGTTTCAGAAGCACTACCTTTAGTAAGCTTAAAGTTTCATATAAAATGTTCTGGTTTAGCAAGTAAGTGTTGTTAGAGATTCAGCGAGGACAAGTGCAAAGTCCTGCACTTAAAACAGAAGAATCCCATGCACCAGCACAGCTGGGAGCTGACTGGCTGGGCAGCAGCTCTGCAGAAAAGGACCTGGGGGTGACAGTGGACAAGAAGCTGAATAGAAGCCAGCAGTGTGCCCTTGTTGCCAAAGAGGCCAATGGCATCCTGGGCTGCATTCAGAGAAGCCTTGCCAGCAAACTGAAAATAATTATTCCCCTCTATTCAGCACTGGGCAGGCCACATCTGGAGTCCTGTGTCCAGTTGTGGGCCCCTCACTACAGGAAGGATGTGGACAAGTTGGAGAGAGTCCAGCGGAGCGCAATGAAAATAGATGGGGGGCTGAGGGACATGACTGGTGAGGAAAGACTGAGGGAACTGGGTTGATTTAGTGTGGAAAACAGAAGACTGAGGTAGGATTTGATAGCAGCCTTCTACTACTATAAGGGAGGTGACAAAGAGGATGGAGCTGCACTGTTCTTAGTGGAGACAGATGACAGAACAAGGAGCAATGGGCTCAAGATGCAAGGGAAGTTGAGGTTAGATATCAGGAAAAAACTCTTTCACTAGAAGGGTAGTAAAGCACTGGAACAGGCTCCCCAAAGAGGTGGTGGCATCTCCATGCTTGAAGGTTTTTAAGACCTGGTTCAACAAAGCCTTGGCTGGGATGATGTAGTTGGGGCTGGTCCTGCTTTGAGCAGGGGGTTGGGTTAAATGACCTCCTGAGGTCCCTCCAAACCCTCATTTTCTATGAGTCTGTGTTTGCCCAGATTATTTCAGAAAGTCAGGAACAAGTGAAGACAAAGGATTCGAACAGAAACTGCTTTGCATCCTCAACTACTCCAGTTGGTCCCCCAGCAGTTACTGTATGGGATTGGTGGTCAAACCTTCTGGCAACTGGGCCTAAAGTTAAAAGCAAAGTATGAGTGCACGCCACTCTAATAACCAGGCATTGCTGCAAGCCAGTACCACTGAATCCTGTTGCCACCAAGACACAGCAACACCAAATTTGGGGGCACCTACAGCTCTTGTGGGGCCAAACCTGCAATCAAGCCCCCTCCAGTCCAATCTCCAACCCTCCCCAGCTTCCACCTGGGCTCCCATTACTGGTGCCCCCATTAACCAGGGCACATGTGGTTGCATACCAAACACACCAGAGGCCCCGTGCCACACGTGGCATGTATGCCACAGGTTGGCCACCACTGCATTACAGCAACTCAGTCTGGTATAATCTGCTAGTTTAATGGTTTGGAAATTACACGAAGCACTTGCTGACTACACAGAGTTGGTGCTTTAATCAGGAGCACAACAAAATGCCCCTGTAGATGCAGTTTTATTATGACGGAGCAGCCTTTTAAGTGAATGAACTAGGTAATTAACATATTAGCTAATTTTTTTTAATGTTAAGTGCAGTGGTAATAAATATTGATTTAGTTTCTTCAGCAGGTCATAATCACACTTCAGTAAATGATACAGTTATTGATCAAAGAGCATTTCTGAGCTCGGGATATTCAACCCAATAAAATAATTCACAGAACACTCCTTATTTTAACAACTTTTCTCAACTAGTGTACAGAGCCCACATTACGTGAACCAAAACCTGGCAGCCATCCAAGGTGGGAACAAGCTACCCATCATTTCTACATTCGCTTTTGCAGAGAATAATGTTCATACCACTCAGCTGGAGCTCCCGGGATCCCACTGCCGGCAGAAGGAACCATTACAGCGTTCCTCTCCTCAGTAAGGGTTAGCCTCATCTCTAAAAGCTGGGCTTCCCGATCTGCATCGTCTTCTGTTTTATCTGGAGAAGCAGGACAGTCACAGTCAAGATGCCATTTTGCCATTGTGGCTTTTAATCACTTCCGCCCCTATCCAACTCACTGCATCTAACCGCCTTTCCCGGCAGTCTTATCAAAAACGGATTCCCGTACAACACTAAAACTGTTCTACGTGCACCTCTTTGCTCCTGACTCCCTTGAATACAAGCCAGGATCTTTTTCTCATTTCTCACCCAAACTGGCAGCTTTGAAGATCCAATCCCTCCTTCAACTTGCCATTTAATTTGACACATGCAACTCAACCCCCCACTCCCCTCCCACCCATTAACCTTTGCCTACCAGGTTTGCTGACGATCTTTTGCAGCTGTTGGTCTAGGTACTCCTGTCGTTTCGTCAATGCGCTCAGCCATTTCCGACGCAGTCTCTCCAAATCCCTGTCCTGGGAAGACGAAACAAGTTGTTCTCAGCACGCATCTGAGCAAAACAATACTGGACAAAGGAGATCTGCAGGATCTGGACCGTCACACAGCTTCACTGTACTGGTAATGTTGACAGTGTGGTAGAGCCCTTGTCACCCTCTTTTACAGCTGAGATGTGCAGAGCTGACCGAGTTTACAACCTATGGCATTTGCAGTCTCGGGGTTAAGCCCAGTTTGGCATTATGAGCAAACTGTTTCATGAGTCACAATGCAACTTTTTCGATTCAGATATTGTTCCTGACTTCATAGGAATTACCCCTGAAGTAACGTCATCTTATTACTCCTAAAGTAAAACTACTTAAACCACTCACAATTCTTCTTTAGTGGGTTGTTGCCTACAAAAGCTCATGCCTCTCTGAACCAGTTAGTCTCTAAGGTGCCACCCTGCCCTACCTTCTGCCTGACTTCAGACTAACCCAAGAAATCACTTCCAAACTTTTCTTCAATGCTTATGGCACAAAACTGTCCATTTAAATGGTCTCTGCCTGATACAGAAGTGCTCAAAAATGAGCCCTGCATTCAAAATTGTGTTGCTCGCGCCACAGACAGAACTATTCATTCTGTGGTGGGATGCCTCCAGACATACATTATTCCTCCCCTCCCCACGCTAGCTTATATTCACTCTATGCCACTATAACAAAAACCACTTAATGGAGAAAAAAAAAATGTTTGTCATCATGGGCATCTGCAGTGGTACCAGACGCCCACTGCCAAGGATCTTTTCTTGTTGCTCTCTTTTTGATACAGTAACGAGGATGAGGTGTTTCCCCAGTCACTACCAACTTGGATGACAACCTCTTGCAAACATTACATATCGCCAACAGCACTGCGAGGTAACAAGTTTTACCCATTGCATAGATGAGAAACCAATGTGTTCAATAATGAATAAAGATTAAACGATTGCCTCAAGGCTGCCATAAGCAACGGCCCTAGGAATAGCACAACTGCCCGGGCTTCTTGCCTTGCCTTCCGTTTTGAAAACTCGGCAATATTTACTCCCAGGTCTCATACAAGCTATGTTCATAGGATAAAATAGTTTGAAATATTCTACTTTCACTCATCCCATTCTTTCAGAGGAAAAATATCACCTTGTTTAATTCTATGTTAGGTACCGTGTAAAAATCAATATGTTCCTCCGAATTTAGAGGATTTAGAGCCTTCAGGGCAGGGACTTCCCTTGATAACTGGGCCTGCACAAATGCTGATACCTATTATTAAAACCTAGCGTTCTGACCTACAAATGTTATGTTTGAAAAAAAGAAGAGAACTGACACTGCATTTACCTGGTAACTGTCCATATCGTCATCTTCTTCCTAAGAAAAATATGCAAACCCAAGTCATTCATAAAATTCTTTTATAACAACACATGCATCAAGCCCAAGAATGGTATTTTTAAGAACAGCAGCAGCAAAAACACAAAAAGTTGTAGGTGCTAATCTGACGAACGAATCCTGTACTAGAATAAGGCGGGAGATAAAGACTATCGTACGAACACCAGAAAGCAGAGCCACTGCCTTTTCTTCTATAAGCCTGGTTGGAATGATACATGACCAAAGCTTTACATCACTTGGTATGAACAAGTGGAATCAAAGCTACAAAAATATGTAACAATTAAAGGAACATTGCTATGCAGAAAGGATTGTAATCATTATGTTTAATTGCCAAAAATCATGAGCTAAAATATTTAAGTGCTCCAAGAAAAAAAAGTTACAGTGAAACAACTTGAAATCTAGCAAGTGATTATCCAGAATGGAACTGAAGAATTTGTCTCCTTTAGTTATTAATTACTTGTTATAGTGAGCCTTGGAGATCAGAAATTTGGACAAAAAGGCTAGCCTGAAGGTAAGTTTGATTACTCAGAAGGGGAAAATTGTTAAGTTAAATAAAAAAAAAAGTAAGCGAAAAGTCACTGCAGCTTTGACGCACTGATTTCCAACAGTTTCTGATGGGACACAGGATCTTCCAATGCTGCCATACATCAAACCAGGCCCGTTGCTAGAAAATATCATTAAGATGGCCATCTGCAGTGAGGCACAAAGTATCATTCAGTGAATGGACAAAATGGAAAAGCAAGGGTTTTCCAAAAGCTGCTGGAGATTTATTCCTCAATAGGTAAAAAAAATACTTGGCAATTTAAGGGATAACAAGACACTTGAGTGTTCCTTTAAGTTACAAAAGCAAATTTGAGCTATGCTAAAATTAAAAAGGCATACGAGCTTCAAAGGTGCATTTTCTTAACTTCAGAGCCTTTTGAAAATGTTTGACATACAAGGAGGGAGATGAATTTGAGAGACAAAAATGCAGATAGGGACATCATGTATCCAAGGTTCAAATTAGACAGTTATTCTCTTTAAAATTATAAAAGGGAGTCATTTCATTCTTCTTCTCCATGTTACTAGTTATCAAATTACATTTGTGAAAGGAGAAATATTAAAGGCTTGTGTCAGGGAGGTGGTTGTTTAAAGGGAGATGGACCAAGCCCATCTGCACCTTGTTAACTGCCTTCGTAGATAATAAGCTTGGAGACAGATAAAAAGGAGCCCACTAGGTTCAGTTGTAGGAGACACCAGCAGGGAGCAGGGGAGGGACAGAAGTGTCGGGAGACTGACCGCAGGAAGGATGGCCCAAGACAGGCAGAAAGTTTGTAGGCTGGGACCCTACTACAATTTACCTGTGAAGCCCCTTACATGGCTGTTGAGCCCAGGGGATATCCAGAAAAGAAACGAGTTTACCTGTCGAAGGGCAAAACGCCCCCTTATCTAGCACGTCTAGACAGCCAAGCTCGGTGGTAATGGGATATACAACTAATAGAGAGAGTTGGAAGACAAATCTCAAACTGCTCAGGATTTGGTTGGCCTTGTGTCAAGTGGGAAGCTAAGTAATCCATCCTAGGGAGAACAGCTGTTGGTGGGTTAGACTTGAATTTGCTAACCCTGGAGCGGCCTGGACTCCTGTGATTTAGCCGAGGCGTTATGTCTGCTAGGTCATAAGGGGCAGAAAGATCCCTGCAGGGAGACCATCAACCAGACCAGGGACACTACAGCAATTAGCACGCCACCAGAAACCAAAGGACGATAGGCCATGGTGTCAAAGGCCTGTTCCTGCACACCTTTGTACACAGCCAAAAATGTAACCACGTTAGAGTGTGTTAGGGTGGCTTTTGAACTATACAAGTCTTTTAAATCATGAAAACACAACTACATTTTTGCTGCTGTCCTCTTAAGCATTCCAAAAAAAATCACATTTGTTCTTATTTAACTATTGATTTGCTAGGATTTCTTAAGTCTTATCATTATAACGTCATTAACTACCAAAATGGCTGGTATTTTTTAAGTAAAACCTATTTGAAATAGTAAAGTCCCTAACGGATTTCATGGACTTGCTGACTCTTCTCTTCCTGTATTAAAGTTCCTCCTTAGACTAAGGTAATGTTTCTGTGCACTTCATTTATTGATTTTAAAGATGAGACAAGAGTAGGCAGGTGAGTGTTAAAAACAGCAATAGCTGCTTTTGTTACGGGAGATGGCTCTGTCAAAGAGGAAGCATGCTCCAAAGACAGTCACACTGGTTCCCTCCAGCCAGAGCTAAATGCATGCTAAAAATCCTAGCCAGAAGAGCTGTATTGTCACTCATTGCTCCATGTTTATAACAGTACAGTAAAATAATTTACAGCCAGTGGAGTTTCTCTCCATTTGAAGTGGATTTGGCCCAAAATACTTCTCTTCAGCCTTCCAAAGGTCCTTTGCATTATTCATTTTTCTTCCAACCAAAGAATATTTATTGAGACGGGATCTTACCTGATGATTTTCATGAGCTTTCTGTGACTTGGCATGTCTTATTTGAACACAGCCAATGCCAACAGATAAGATAGATTCTTCCATGAGAGGCAAAGTCCCAGACTCCTGCACAGACTTCACTTTAATCTGGATTCGCCGTGACTGCCCCTGTACAAGACAGCAATTTTTTTTTCCTTAAGTCTTGAGTGGTGAAAGTTTGGTGATGGAGAGACCTCTACTGGTGATGACTTCATTTACAGTACCCTATGTGAATCTAATGATGTTTCATACTTTGATGAAGGCGGTACTGAAAAGCCTTGATGAGACATGATATTAATTAGGCAGAACTACCACTTCTGCTACCAGGCTTAAATTCCCCTAAAAAACACATATTCAGCAAGTTCACATTTTGCTTTATATGGATGTTTTTCAAAGGAGACTTTCCTGGTTTTTCTTATGCTTGGAGGACCAAAAATAGGATGTCTGTTCCCATCTGTTTTGACAGCAGAGTGGAGAAAAAAATTTATTTGGCAAAAAGTTACCAAGCTGAAATTAACTCCTCTTGACTGCCTGGACTATGCACCCTTCACACTTCAGCTGTCACTGCAGTTCCAGAAATAGTGTTCCTGCCATGGTACAACTGGTAATGTAGGAAATGATAACAGTTTGGGAGATTAAGGGGTATTTAGCATTTCACTGTTCTCCAAACAGTGATGTTTAAGCCATTAACTATCCCGGTAACTATTAAAATTTTAGTATGTGTATAATCCAGATAATGGGAGACTGGCTGGCTGAAAGGAAGATAAAGGGCACTTTGGCTTGAGTTCAGCCAGGGTTGACCACAGCTCAAAGTTGCTTTCTGATGTCTATTTGAGAATTTGGTCCAACCCCGTTTCGAGCGTCTACTTCAAAAATACCATTGTGTAAACTTGTTCCTCAGCTGGTGGTCTCAGCAGAAAAGCTAAAGCGTTGAATATATGATGGAGAATGAATTACCCTCCAGCCTCCAGGTCAGAGATGAAATACATTGTTAGGGCGATGCAGAGAAAGCTTCCTCTGCTATCGCTCTAAACAGACATGGCATGTGCAACAGAAGACCTCAGCCTCTCAAGGCATCAATGGAAATAATTAAGGAATCAAATCTATTTCCTTCAGATTGTAGCCACCCTTCATGAGATCCACCGCTGGGCCAAAGCTGCTGTGGTCATCAGCCACCTGTTGAAAGCTTCTGAACTAGCACGTATGCAGGCTTCTCCACTTCTTTCAGAAGGGAAAAGTCAGCCTCTCTTCGAACAGATGCTTGTAGCTGCCGTCTTACCTGTCTGAGCTGGAAGATGCCACCTGTACACACTTCTCTGGCAGGAATCACCTCAACTGGACAATACTCCCCATCCTCATTAAGTTCCAGAATCTGAACCCACAGCTCCACCTTTCGGGTTACCTCACTCCACCTGGAAAAAAATGTCAAATGTCACATTAAAGGTTTATATCAGTAACACAGGAGAAGGGAGACATTTAATCAAGTGCCACTCATACCTGGAAAAGTCAATATTGCCATTTCTGAGGCAACTGCTAGTGACAGTAAGTTTACCTAAAGTTTTTATAGCCACCAGACATAAGGAAAGTACTGGGCTCTTCATACTGATCCAATCAGTACCCAACTGATCACAGCATTTAAATTCTACTCAACTGCAAGAGTTCAGTGCAATTGGATCACTGGTACTTCGGGCAGATTTGTACACTGGTTTCATGCGAGCCTCCCACAATTAGGATCTCTTTCCTGATCTGCATCCCAGAGCTTTTACCTTCCTGCAAGTTTGCATGTAAAATGTATTTTTCTATGAGCCTTCAAATTTCAATTCACCCTACTTATCCAGCCCCAAGCTGTGAAGAACTTTCCCAAGCTGCAAGACCCATGCATTGACCAATAAAGCAAATGTATGATTTTACAGGCTGCTGACAGATTTTGGGGGAAAAAACCCCCAAAACCCCAGCACTTCAATGGAAGAGACTCTCATCAGTTTGACCCAGCTCCCCAGCATTTGTAAAGATTGGGCACTTTAGCATGGCTTTTTGGCGCTTTATTCTAAAACCGATTCAAATTAGCTGCTAATTCAAAGCACCAAAAAGCCCTAATGAAGTGCAGGACCTATACAGATGTTGGGTGATCCGGGTCAACTTAACACAATGTCTCCCCCAGGCAACTGTGGAAGTATGCCAAGCTAAAAGTAAAGTGCTGTTTTTGGCGGTGGGGTTCCATGTCTGTAAGCAGCTATATACAGCCCTTCTCTGGCTTCACTTCCCCATTTCCTTAAAGGTTAATTAACCTGATATCATGTCTTAACTTACAGCTGACTATCCTATTCCGAATACCTTTAAGACCAGAAATGAAAAAGGTTTTAAATCATCTTACGAGTGAGGTTCTGCAAACAGCCTCCGAGTACACTGCTTTGACCTGCATTATAATTTTATGTGCTGCTTTTGTAAGTAAATACTGACGAGTACAAATATTCAGACTCTTCGTTGATACATTTTTACTTAATCTAGAACTTGACCACTGGTCTCAAAACTACTCTAAAATGCGGTCTCTTAGACATAAATGAATTTGCCATGATCCTAAACAGCCTGGAAGTTCAGTGTGTGACGTTACCTGTCACGAAGACTTCGTGTTTTGGCTTGAATTATTCCCAAATCCCATAGGGCTGAGTTTTTCCGAGGATCACTCTGTTTGTGACCATAAACTTCTATTGCCAAAGCACCTTCATAGAGATGCTCCATGAAGTCTTCAGAAATATTCACAGAAAACTCCTAAATGGAAATTACAAAACTGGTTAAAAGTAAACCCTCATTCTTAAACTCCCACTACACACACACACTTTCCAATTCACCTTGTTTTAAGCTTACATGTTACTTTCTCCCCATGATGGAGCTCACATACTGGAAATATTTATTTCAAAGCATTTAGAATAAAGTGGATCTTTCCCCATTAACTCCAAGTCTGAGTCTACTGATCAGGCAAGCCACACAAATTTGACTAATCCCATTCATTTACTGTGTTTTCTGCATAATCAGTTAAAGACTTTTGATGTTGGCATTTGAGATTCTCCACTCTGAAGCTTTTGGCTGGTGCATCCCAATTTATTTATACTACAATCTGCTCCTACCTCTAAATTGCATTGTCTCTGCAAATAGTAAAAATGGATACTTGATAGTCACCCTGTGCTTTCCTCCATTCAAATTATTTGCATTACACCAGCCCTGATAGAGACTGGAGATCTATGGTACTTAGTGCTATACAAAAGAACTTGGTAAACCAGTCCCTTCTCCCTACAATTTAAAATATAAAGTAATGAATTAGGAAAAAATTGCAGAAGGAAGAGAACAGTATTAGTATTAGCCCCATTTTATAAAAGGGAAAATCAAAGCACAGGGTTTACATGAAATTTGCCAAAGACCACAGGGTAAATATGTGGCTGAGCCAAGACTGTATATTCCCCAAATCCAAATTCAGGGCTTGAAAGGTATTCTTTGCTCATAGTACTTTATTAATAAAAGAGCCTCAATAAAACCCTGATGGGGTGGGTATTTTTATTTTTATGGATATGGATACTAAGATAAATTGAAGATAGAAGATTATTAGTTAAAAAGGGGGGGCAAAAGTGACTGACAAAAACATTTTTTCAGAGCGCTAATTTTCTGTGTTTATCTATGAATGCACTGATAAATCAAAAAAGCAGTTACACTGCAGTGATCGAAGACAACCATGCATCGCGGCTCCTTGTAGGTCGCAGATAAGGAGGGATCCACCTCAGGGACAACCATAACTGGCTCTGACTGATCCCAAAAGGTGTACTTGCAGAACACAAAGTTGGAGAGATGCTGAGGCAAACCTGTAGCCTGAAGTATTTTAATCTAGTTGAAGGAGACACAGAAGCAGAGAAAAGCATATCTTAAACCAGTTACCTTGCTTGCAACACTTAAGCACAATGCAAAAGAAATCCATTTGGTTAGAATAACGTCTTTCTACTCCACTGGGAAACTTCTTCAATTAGAGAATGAACTACTTTGGCACAAAGACCTGGCCAAAAAGCATTTCCGTTTGCCTTGAAATAGCTGTAGGTAAAATGTTTTGGCTGTAGTCACTGAACATCATCACTAGGTGTCACTGAAAAACTGGCTTTAAGACAGCAAAGAAAGTTCTTATGGATTTTTATAAAAGGTGCAGGAGATTTATTCTTTACTTTTAAAAGCAAAGGGATACCATGCATTATCTTTCAAGGGGAATTTAATAAAAACTTGTATTTCTACCTAAACAGAAGCTTTTGTTCCTGCAACCCTTCTGTCCAAAAGTCGTTCTCACTGTATTTCTAGAATGCTATGAACATATGAATTTAAAAGCCAAGCATAGCCCCCAAAAATCAAGTTTTAGCAAAGCCAGGTATAAAAAGAACTTGAAAATCATGGCCCGATCAAACTGTAAAATCAAAACTACATTAAAGCAAAGTCTAAGATTTTGTAAAGCAAATTTCTTTACCTAATTGCAGAAATAAGTTCAACTAAAATTAGGACCTGTTAAGAATAATGGACCTTTCCTCCTACTCCTCCAGTAATTTGGTTATTTTGTCTGCTCCTATGTGGAAGTAAAGTCAGCCTTTCCAATTGCTCACCCCATATAACAACAACGTAGTAGTAGTAGTAGTAGTAGTAATAGCAACAGTAATCATGATAGCAACAACAAGAGTGGCAACAACAACAGCTACAACTACAACAAGCGTATGTGTGCTTGTATAGGAACATGTACACACACACACACACACACACAGTGGGTGCATCTCCTACACGAGACACTTTAAGGTGCATTAGCCTAAATTTAAGGCACATTTGGGCACGCTTCTACATGTGTGCACTCTTAATGCACTTTAAAAACGGTGATTTGGGGCTAATTGTGCCTAAATTTGATACCTGCAAATGTGCAAATAGTTAAAGTGCTTTAATGCACATATAGATGCATTAAAGCACATTAACGCTGTGTGTGGACTGACTTGGGACTAAAATTAGTAGGGTATGCAGAATTTCATACTCCGGATATATTTGTTTTCATTGATTTCTTTTAATGCCTTGTGTTACAGAATTTGCCCTAGAAAGCCTCTGTCTTGTCTTCTCTCCTCTCATAGCATTTCATATCCTGAGTGAGAATAATGCAAGAAGACTGAATCTAAAGTTAGTTCCAAGTCAGTCCACACACACAGCGTTAATGTGCACATGACCGAGAGTTATAATTAAAACAATAGAGTATGGCCTCAATAAGAAGATGGAAAAAGAAGAAAAAATGCCACCACGAGACCAGAGAAATACAGGATTCAGTCTTCTTGCATTATTTTCACTCAGGATATGAAACGCTATGAGAGGCAACAAGACAGTCTTATGACCCCTGCCACCTCCAGTGCTCATTCCTGCCCATGGCAGGGGGTTGGACTCGATGATCTGTCTAGGTCCCTTCCCACTCATCGATTCTATGATTCTATGACAGAGGCTTTCTAGGGCAAATTCTGTAACAAAAGGCATTAAAAAAAGCCAGTGAAAACAAATACACCCAGGGTATGAAACTCTACATACTTCACTAGCTTTGCCATTTGCTTTGCTTTGCTCTTTAAATCTTGAAGCATCAAAATGCTTCCAAATATACTGTTAACAATTTAACAACTTACAAGGTAGGATAACGATAGCATAACTGAACATAGGCTGTAACCAGAGCACATGCTGTGTAATTCATCACTAACAAAGAAATTAATGCACCATGAACATTTAATTATGTTTTTTTACACACGAGTTGTAAAAGGAAGGGCAGTGCTGGCTCAGTGGTTAGCACAACAGCTTCCCTGGAATGCATCTAGAAACTCACCATGCAGACTAGTTTTTTCTCCTGGGTGTCACTGTCGCTTGAATAGTCTGGGCTATCTTCACCTCCTACTATTCTCTCCTCAATCTCTCCGCTCACTCGCACAACTTCAACGTGAAGACGACCTGACACCTAATGAAAAAAAAAGGATCGGAAAGATTGAGTGTGGTGCAACAGTCTGTTCTAATCATTTCAGGCAGCTACAGAGCTAGTGCACCACCAGGCACATGCACAACTAGTGTGTCCTCCCCGATTCCTCTCTTCCATTGTTTTATCCAATGCATTTGTCTGGTCTTGGATTTTAAGCCCTTTTGGCAAGGGAAGACTGTGTATAGTGCCAGCAAGAGTTCAGCTTCAGTCACAATTGAATCTGGGGACCATGCTGGCTGCAGCAAACTGCCTCTCATTTACCTACGCATGCTCTACCTGGCAATGGGCTTACACTGATCCGTATGTTTCATGATCACAATACCAGTGTTCAGAACCTTAAATCATTAAGGCTAGAAACAGACATCAAAAAATGAAGCGGATCAGCTGTGCTGTGATGTGCCAGGGCACAGCAGACTTCACTGGGTGAAACATGTCACCCCTTGTCCTAACCTTGATGGTGTGGCACAAGGGATGATGTGATCTCCAGAGGCAGTTTTGAGTGAACCCTACTTTCCCTGCTCAGCCGGATCTGTCCCCCTCAATCAGCTTTCCCTGCTTAGGGAGAGGTGCACTGAGATTCAACGAGGTACCTGTCTAAGTGGGACAAGCTGGGCATGTGGTCCAGGGACTGGAGGAGCCTTAAGCCCCCAGAGTACCTGCCTTGGGTGGCTGGAGAGTGCAAGCAGCTCAGGCTGCTTGTACTCTCCTGCCCCAGAACTAATAGATGTCCACTGCAATAAAGCAGTAGTCTATTACTACCTTTCACTGCAGCATTGATTTTCCTTTCATGTGGCATGACATCTATTTGCTCATAATTTGTGCCACCATAAAAAATGGTGTGGTAGCACAAGTGAGACATCAGGTGACATCTGTTTCTACCCTAAGATGCTTTGGGGATGAGAGAGAAGAGAGCACTAGTCCCACAGTCCTGAAATGCTATACAGTAGCAGGCACATGTTCTGGGAACGCCTTTCCTACAAGGTTGACAAGCTCAACTCACTTCCAGTGAACAGCAAACAAGCAGGGCTTATGGAAGGAATGACAAACCTCTCCCTTTTGGTTGATGATTGGAACAGCATACTGCAGCTTCACATCATAAAACAGGGACTCGAGGAAAACATTGGCCACTCCAATGAGGCTGTGGTTTTCCTGTTCGTCATAGAATGGATCCGCTCGCCTGAAGTAAGCTCTCATCATCTAGAAGCAAATTAAAAAAAGGCAAATGTAAATGAAATGGTTAACACGACAGCATTTTCACATCCTTGCATGACTAGCCAGGTATTTCATAGCTTCTGACTTAGGCAAGAGGCCAGAATGGATCAGAAAGCTCCACACAAAGACTACTTGTACGTGCTGTTGCAGGCAGAGTTTGAGGTCTGTCCTCAAGGTTTCTTTCATTGTTTTATATTCACAACTTTCAGAAGCTGATCTGAATTTGATCTCCCACTCGATCTCTGCTTAGCTTCTCTTGTTGGATTCTAGTTCCTCTGTTTACTTATCAAACCAAGTGCAGAGAAACACGGAAGTGACAAGATCGAGCAGGTCAATGAAATAGTGAAGAACCATCAAGAACATCTCTGGTTAGTACTACAAGTGTGTGATGGCTCAGAAAAGCAGCTATATTCCAGAATAAAGATAACACCACCTCCCTTACCTTTTTTAAATGACAGGGACTCATTTATCACCACAATAATGGAGTCTCTTTCCTCTTATTACTTACTGGGTTGTCCTCCTCGCACTCTTTCCACTCCTGATAAAGATCCCTCATATCCACTAGTCGGTTTTCCAGTTTCTCTAGTGACCAGATCTGTTTGCCTTTCCCTTTCCTCCTCACCTGAATAGCAGGCTCACTGAGAACTGCACCTCGCTGCAGAAACAGGTAGACTTGAGTAAGAAATCCAGGTCATGACAGCAGGTGAAACATTGCACAGAATGTATTGAGGAACATTTCTTTTGTTTTTTTAAAGTCTTAAGTAACCAAATTCTGGAGTGGCAGGATCCGGATCTTGCCATCAAGCAAAGCAGACATGCCCTCTGAAACTGCCAAACTTAATTCCAGCAGATGGGCAGAGATCTTTGCAAATCCCTGACCTTACAGAAATGTTCCAGGGATGAAATCAAGGATTTAATTAAGATCCTCAAATGAAAGTAGCCGTAAGCTCAAAGCATGGTTACTATTATGAACAACCACCAAACTCATGTAGTCACTTAACCCCTTCCTCCCTAGGTAAGACAAGCCAAAAAATTACATCTAAAAAGGTTTGCTATGTAGATAATGCTCAGATTTAAAGTGACTAAGACAAATTTCAATGATAGGGTGAAATGCACTGGGTTGACCTGACTTTTTAAGCTCTGTTTCACATCTGGGTGAAAGAAAGGGAGGATAGTCAAATAGTAAAGTTTTGGGATATGAGTTATGGGTTAGATTCCCTGCACCGAGAGATCCTACAAAACCCTGTCCTTTTATATCCCAGTCCTGTTCTACGGATGGGGAGGGGTGTGACTTTCATACCCCACAAAGGTGCTGTGAAGCTCATCTCCTTCAAGACTGTACAGCATTTAGATATTAAAAAGTACATAAGATAGATACTATTTTCCCTACATGCAACGTAGTGATGGGAGGAATAAAATAGTGAATTATGAAGAAACCCTAATGTTACTATGGACTTCTTGGCTTTTGTGAACAGTTTTGACAAACCACCTCCAAAAAGAAATGTTATTTTTCCAGCCATTTGATCAGGCAACAGCTCAATCACATCACCTTATCATGAAGGCACATTACATTAATGTGAAAGGACTCCAGTAAGCACCGGGAAACACATGGCTGTTAGATCAAGTCATCGCAATTTAGCCTGATCTTTAAAAGCAGGTTTTGTTATTTCTCAAGACTTTTTATCCACAGCATCTTGAAATTTTAGCATTGCTGCTGTGGGAACAATGAGTGAGATGGTGCGCGTGCATGAACCTCTGCCCAAGGACACATTTTCAGGGGCTGGCATATTTCTATACTTTTCATACTGTGAAATATGATAAAGATATGTCATGTTTTTTCCAGTACCAGCCTTCCCAAGTAGAAACATGCTGGCAGATTATCTAGATCATAAGAGCTGCAGAATGACAAATGTGAAGAGTCCACGAGCCCACTTGATCAAATAATGATTCAGTTATGCAAGCTGTCGTCTCACCTTTCTGTTCGCGTTAAGGCTTGAAGCTGGGATCTGCAGAGTGACTTTATACTCTGTTCTCTTGTCCAGCTCCTCGGCAATGAAATTGGCTTCTCTCACATATAAATTGGCTTTTACAATTTGTTCTCTCAGCTTTCGCAGGCTCTGGTTCAACATTTCTTCCCTTTTCAAAAGAAGAAAAGAATGATGAGGTTTAGCGACTGAACTTCTGACTAGATTTTAGTAGAAAACTAAGGGCCTTGGGATGGATCACTGCCATGCAGGTAAGGCACGAACAGGATTTCATATACAATGCGACTCATTTGAACATGGAAATGTTAGCTGAACACTGACTCTTCACCCCCATCCACACACACACACACACGCACACACATACACACACACACACACAGAGAACAAGACATTTTGCCTGGCCTGGAGACCAGATCAGATGGTTCCCCGACCCTATCCATAGAACAGGCAGTTTTTGTGTGAGCTACTCCACAGTTTTGACCAAAGGATGCAGAAAATACCATTTTGCATGGAAAGGGTAATTCAGTCTCCAAGTTACAGTCTGTTTAGCCTCCCTGCCTAGCAGACCAATTAATACTTCCTGCAAAGTAGAAAGTGACATCAGATATTCTGCACAAATTGTCAACACATCATTAGACAGTCATGTCCAAGCTGGGCTGGACCAGAATCGGAGACTTGGAGACAAAATGCGGCATCTCCCATTCTAAATATCTTTTTGCAAAAAGCTATTCATTTAGCCTTTTAAATGAGTTAATGATTCATTTCAAGATTTAGCCTTTTAAATGAATCAATACACATAATATATACATAATGTATGTATAAATACATTACATACATCAATGCATTAAATGCATAAATATAGAGCTTTAAAATGTATCCATTTAAATTATATGCCTAGATTATTAATACTTGACTGGGAGAACGGCAGTGATTCTAATGATAAAATGATGACATTTATACAGGAGTCCATACTCCTTCCATGTTTTGCTCTTAAAATGAGGATGGACAAGCGACCTGAGATCATACTGCAGAGTTCCTCCACGAGCAGATGAAATAAAAGACAAAACAGAGAGAGATGTTCGACCTTTCTGGGGACTCTGCTGCTGCTGCTATCCCCACAACACTAGCACTGAGCTCTTCTCAGGAGACCCATTCACTACATGGGCTATTGTGAAAAGCATCTCAAATCTTAGAACAGACTTCATCAGCTTTAGGACTGCAAGTCTAACCAGTCTTGCTTGAAAAACATGCACATTCTCATCACCCACCTCTCTTCTGCCCACTGCCGTAAGCGTTGCTGGGCATTGGGGGAATGGAAAGAGAACCTCTCCATGCTGCGGAAGTGTTGTTTTTCAGGAGAGAGTCGCCTTCGCAGCTGCTCTAGTTCATGCTCATACATTAATCTCTGCCGCTCAAGAGCGGACCGCTTCTCCTCTTCATGCTGCTGCTCCAGGCTCTGCAAGATTGACTGCATTGGATCTAAGCAGATGTTAAAAATAAAGAAGCTAGTTGAGCTGTGTTCAGACGTCTAGTGAACAAGGCAGTGGTTCTCAATCTTGTTCGACTCAAGGCCCTCTTCATGAGACTCAATGCACCCCTCGGTGCGCACCTCTTAGTTTTCACTCCTTTTTCAACTACAGAAATATAACAGAGCAATTCTTTTGTTGTAAAGAACTGAAAACCCCCACATCAGGTCAGACTGTTATTAACACCCTAAGTGTTTTCCTATGTAAAATCTCTAGGTTTATCTTGTAAATTATGTTTGCACACCTATCGGTGCTAACATTGTGAGGTACCCTGCAGCACCCTTGAAAGGATCCCAAGACAGCCCATGGTGCCACAGCATCCGGGTTTGGAATCACTGAAATAGGGAGTTAGAGGGAAGCAGTGATCTACCAAACAGAACTGAGAACAAAACTCCGCCAGTAGATTTACCTCTGTATCTTTAGAGAAGTCACAACTTTACTATGCTTCAGTTTCCCCATCCATAAATAGGGATACCATCTGCTGTGCCCCCTTGCAAAGCCCTTTCAAATCCACAGATGAAAAACCTTCTATAAATTAAGCATAATTTTTATAGACTGTGTCAGAATGCTTCCTTTTTTTTGTCATGAAGTTGACAAAACCCATCACCTATTGTTCTTTTCTACAATTTAGCAGAGTCATCTAGTCCATTTATATTTAACAGAGTTTAGAAGTGGACAAAGATGGAGCTACTTCCCCAAAATAAGGCAGCTAGCTAAAACTACAGAAACCAAAGATCTTGCATTCAGGACAACACATAGGTTTAGACACCACTAGAGCCAAAGCTAGATAGAATATAGTAAACATACACAGCTAAACTCAAATACACCAAAGTCCTGAATACTGTCAATATTCCAGTCCTGGGTCTCATGCACAACAGCAATCAGTTGTAGCAAATAATAATGTGGCAGTGTTTTTCCCCTTCCTCAAGTAAAAACAATTAAGAGAGAAGTCAACCAAAAAGACAAAAGTGTATCCAAGGGGAAGCTGTATTCCCATAGCTACAGGGTCCTCAAAATATAATCTTATTTCCTCTTTGCATTACCAGTAACCGCTGCTGCTTACCATTGCTACCGAGTGCCTTCATGGTGACTTCCATCTGGGCATACTCATAGCTGAAATTAATCTCACTAGACACTTCGCTGGAGTTGTCTCCATCTGCATCTAGCTGCTCAATGCTACTGCTGCACTTCATAGAGTTATCTCGCTCTTCATCCTCATGTTCCACCTTCTTTTTCTTTTTTGGCAAGTTCAACCTTTTCAAAGAAAAAAGAACAGGGTTAAGTAATTATAATGCCCTTCCTCTGCAACAAAGCCATTGCTCTGAGGACTTAAAAGGAAGGTGATTCCCCTCCAATCAATACATTTGCCTTTGAAAAGATTATGTGTGGGTGGAGGGAATGAGTACCTCAAACAAGTTAAAATAAGGGCTTGAAACATTGTAATTTGGGACTATTCTTTACACCAGGTGCATCGACATGTGCAATTAATTCACATATCACGCTGGAGTTTATTGCGTCCAGGCATTGCATTTTAATGTGCCCCCAGGCATGCAGCACAAGGAACCAGGTCAGAGTAGTTCTGGCTGGCAGGGGGCCCAGGAGGTCAGTCTGCCACCCCAGGATTGCTTCAACCTGGCTCAATGTGCTGTGGAGGGGCTGGCTGGGGCATGAGGGTGCTCCAGCGCAGGGCTGGGCCAATGGGCAGCCCCCACACTGAAGCACCCTCTTTCCCCAACCAGCCCCATCACCATCTACACATGCGCTGCTGTGTACTAAAAAACTCTGCAGCAGGATAGTAGATAGTACTTGCATTTACAAGTACTAACCTGCTGCAGAGTGAATTAGTTTACTCCAGTGTAATAGGATGCACATGTAGACCCTGAGATATTTACTGTGAAGCTCATTAGTAAATGTCTTGTGTAGATGTGCCCACAGATGCAACAGCCTTTTCTCCACTTCCTCAGCTACAGCCAGTTGTGCCTTTGCTTTATTAAAAACCAAAAAGGACCCTTCATCTAAGACCCTAGGCACCCTTGGCAACATTTTTAAATGTAGCTTAACAGCTTTATGAATTTCAACCTCATTCTCCAGTCAACAAGTTGCTGGGGAACAATGAAGTTCCTGGTATCACTTTCCCCTCTCAAAAAAAGGAAAGGAAAATAACTAGGTTTTACAGCATGCCAGTCTCAAAGGTCAATGGATTTGGCTATTTCAAACCAAAGATGGTCTTATAAAAAGAAGTAGCCTTCACACAAAAACATGATGAGTGACTCTTTTATAGACAAAGGGCTGTAGCAGTATGACACAAGGAGGATGGCAGTCTCTCATTTAAGAATTTATAGGAAAAAAAAGACCTTAAATTCCAACAAGAAAACAAGAGAGAGTTGCTGCAACTGAGCATCAGACCAATCTGGTGGCCTTCTATGACCAGGTCACCAAATCCTTAGACGCAGGGGTAGCAGTGGACATAGTCTTCCTGGACTTTAGGAAGGCCTTTGACACTGTCTCTCACCCTGTTCTCATTAAAAAACTGGGGGACTGTGGTGTCGACACCCACACAGTCAGATGTGTCGCCAACTGGCTGGAGGGCCGCACCCAGAGAGTGGTGGGGGATGGGTCCTATTCGACCTGGAGGGATGTGGGCAGTGGGGTCCCCCGGGGCTCGGTCCTTGGGCCTGCACTGTTCAACATCTTCATCAGTGACTTGGATGAGGGGGTAAGAAGCACCCTGTTCAAATTCACAGATGACACTAAGATGTGGGGGGGATGTGGGTATACTAGAAGGGAGGAATAGGCTGCAATTGGACCTAGACAGGTTACAGGGGTGCGCGGATGAGAACAGGATGGGATTCAACACCGACAAGTGCAAGGTGCTGCACCTGGGGAGGAAGAACCAGCACCATACCTACAGGTTGGGGAACTCCCTTCTCGGCAGGGCAGAGGCAGAGGCAGAGGCAGAAAAGGATCTTGGAGTCATCATTGACTCCAAGATGAACATGGGCCGGCAGTGTGGGGACACGGTCAGGATGGCCAACCGCACCTTGTCATGCATCCACAGCTGCGTCTCGAGCAGGTCCCAGGAGGTGATCCTCCCCCTCTATGCGGCACTGGTCAGGCCGCAGCTGGAGAACTGCATCCAGGTCTGGGCGCTGCACTTCAGGAGGGATGTGGACAGCATGGAGAGGGTCCAGAGGAGGCCACTCGCATGATCGGGGGCAGCAGGGCAGGCCTTACAAGGAGAGGCTACGGGACCTGAACCTGTTCAGCCTCCACAAGAGAAGGCTGAGGGGGGATCTAGTGGCCTGTTACAAACTAGTCAGGGGGGATCAGCAGGACACCTTGCTGGGGTCGTTTGACCCCAGTACTCTTTTCTGCCATGGCAGGGGGTTGGACTTGCTGATCTGCTCAGGTCCCTTCTGACCCTACCAAGTATGAAACTATGAGTGCAGGGAGTTACATGCTTGCAGAGACACATTCATAATAATGATGGGGACAGACTCTGCACCAGTTTTGAGGCTGACCGAAGCTGCGCCCTTCAAGTGGAGTACACTGAAGCAATCTAATCTTAAGGGCAAACATGCTGATGACAGTTGCAAGAGACATCAAAATGGTCACAACCCCATGGAAACATAAAAGCTGAAAAAAGTTGCCTTTAGCCCATTACAGCTAAACTAAGACCAGGCACAGCTGCTAGGACATTCATCATTCTCAAAATATCCTCCAGTCACAGAGCTTCCCTTATAATGCCAAGGAATCAGACCTGAAGAAGTGGTTGTTCCCCCACAGTATTCGGTCTCCGTGGTGTAGCTGTGTAGGACCCATAACAGCAGAACCGTTTACAAATGTTCTGTGAAAAGAAAAGAAAAGCGAATGCAACCTGCAGATAAGGACTTTTTTAACGAATAATAATTACTCAAACTGGTTTGAAGAGGAAAACACATTCAAGGATTAGATGCTAAAAAATGCAAGCATGTCACCTGTGATGCAGCACCATCTCCTCAGTCCCTGAATTGATTTAAATTTCCTCTTTTGATTACTGAAGGTCCAGAATACGTAGCATTGCTGAACAGAGATGGTATCCAAGGAGTATGACTGAAAATCTACAGGGCCCTAAAAGGTTCATGACTGTGAATATAGCCTGTTGGAAATGCCCACAGCTATTTTTAAATTGTTTTGAAAGACAGAGAATGAAAGTATACCTATTTTAAATTAAACATTGAAGTTACTAAGTACGTGCATAGTTTACCATATCAAACATTGTTATACTCAGTACTAGCAGAACTTGTGTTTCAAATGGGTTTATTACAAACAAACTGAAATCCAAGGCCTGCATATGAAACAGCCTTGATAAAGCCTAGGAATTTTAAGTTTATTATGCATCTAAAATTAATTATGTGGAATATTTTTTTTTTAAATCAGACAACAAAGGAGCATGGCATTGTGTGATCGGTTGGAACATAACCTATAGTTAATCAGATAATGTGGCAAATGCTGCAGTAAATCTTCACGCACAGAGTGTTTACAGAAGATAATTCAGATGCTGATACTCATTTAATTCCAAATAAATGTTAAAAAGCGAGCAGCTCTTTATGGAAAGCATACACAATTTATTTTTGCATTCTTACAAAATGCACAGCAGATCCTTTAACACTGCTTGAAATCTAATCTGGAAGGGCCCGGAAGTGGAAGAGCCAGTGTGCTGTACATCCAGATCTAGATGAGCTGACAGAGCTGTGCTGGGAGAACACAGCAAGCCACTAATCAAAGTCTAGATAGAAGTAAAGTGGCATTATTCATCCTCAGATAAAGGGCAGAGACACAATTTAAAAATCTTTTTCATGCACCATTTGCCTTAAAATTCTTGCTTAAAGTTACATGACTTCTTTTTTTCAATGTTTTGTTCCAGTACCTGGTATTTTTCTGAGGTGTCAGCATAACCTGTCCTTCCGAGGTGATGTCTATGATGCAGTGTTCAGGAAGAATTCCCATTCCACATAACTGGATATCTTGGGAGTCAGCTGATCCAATTAGTGTGTGCTCCTATTGACAATCCAAATTCATACATTAGCAACCAGGAACAGAAATTCCCTCCCGCTTGCTCTGCAGCGTGTGCATGCTCATCCTGTTCCATCCAACATTTTTGCATGTGTCTTGCTTCCTACTTCTGATGTTTTGAAAGCTGCTGAATTGAATTCAGTCATTCATAGGTGACAATAATATATTTTCTATTAAACTAAAGCATAAAGCATCACGCTAAGGAATTCAACCACGTGTAGGTGTGAGCCTGCGCACATGTGGACATGCACACAATGAAATTCTGACAGCTTGAGAATTACCATGGAAGAGCTATTTGGCAAGCGACTAACAGAGGACTAGCACTTAAAAGCAGATAACTGCTGCCTGCTGACCACACACACTGTGCTGCAACCTGCATGCATGCGTCACCGTGTGTAGAGTACCCAACTCCAGTAACAACTGCTTTAGGATCTAAAAGAGCTGTCCTAGATAAGACTCTGAAATGATCAAAGGGAGCTCTAGTTCATATTCCTGGTTTTTCCAGAGTTGAGAGATAGCACGTGGGTCAGCTTAACTGAAGTTGGAGAAGTCTTCTAAGCTCATAAAAAATTTGTGCCAAGGAGACAGACTCTGGGTTTACCTAGTTTTAAGCAAATGCTGTAAAACCTTCCTCTTCAAAAAAGCATTTCCATCATAAGGATGAGATAATGCTGAAGCCTGCTTTTAACTGAAAAGATTTCTCCCCTTTTACACATGAACTGAGGCCATCCTCCTGAATGTGCCTGGGCATTAAGGTCTTCTTGTCTTGTATTCAACATTAAGCAAGAAAGCAACCCTGCTTCAAGAGCCAGAGTTGAGGCTGATGTAGCAGTTCAAATGAGAGTGCTGGCACCTACACATGAGATGCCTGGCAATATTTGACTCCCCTCCAAAAAAACTTGAATCAGCTTTTTTGTTGTTTATTAATGTTTGAAAGGGACAAGGATGAATAAGGACTTTTCTTCCCTTGCTTTAATTCTTTGGATGGTGATTTGCTTCATGATACCCGACTGATCTACAAAAGGAGTGAAACAAATCGCTGGGTAAGAAGCACAAAATACTTTCAGACCAAATATTAAATTATGCAGCTGTCCCAAGACAAAATGATTATACTCTACTTAGATGGGAGGGCAAAAAAATCATTAACACTCAACAGTGTTAGCATTTTGACATTTGGGTTTAACACTGAAGTCCTGTTAAACTCTGAGAGGTGACTTAAAAGTGGCTGCATGGACTTCATTTTCTCCTCTGACTCCAAATGAAACCTCCTCCATTTACACAGGGGGTAGGGAGAGAGGAGGAAGATGAAAAATGGCCCATGTGCCAGCCCAGCTTTCAAAAGGCAAGTTAGTTCTTTCTTTTGTACCCATCATCAGTAATACAGATTGCATGTCAACCAAATGGATAAGCCACAACAGAAACCACCTCTCCCCCCAGAGACAGACACAATTAAAAGGAATAAGTAACAACTCATTTTAGTTCGTATATTTTGAAGACACAGCGAGAAGCAGAGTTAGCAAAGTGCCTCGACTTTTTATATAAAAATCACTTTTCTGAATAAAACTCTATTAAGATTGCCATAAGGCTGCTGGAGAACTATATGAAATCGAGAAAAAAAATCTCATAAAGGTTGTCTATTCTCATATTCTAACAATTGATGACCTGCATTGAAAAAAAACAGTCATATTTGTGCCCTTTTCTCCAGCTATTGGATACTAGATGATCTGTCATCTCATACGCAGTAGCTGGGGAAAAGGGCACAAATATGACTGTTTGTTTTTCTTCAATGAGGCTCTGACCTCAAATTCATTTTTCACATGCACTTTCTACGCACATGCAGTTCAACAGTGCTAAATGACCAAATTATACATTAAAACAAACGTATTTCACCTTTAAGTAGTAGACTAGAAGTTCGTTGAGAGCAGGATCTGCGTTTAAATTAACCAGGAAACACTTGTTGTCCCCTACTTTGATTCCAGAAGACTGAAGAGATATGCCAAGGCTTTCTAGTTGTTTCTGACGCTCCTGTGAAAGAAACCTTGAAAAGATTAGCATTGAAGAGGTATGATAACCCAAGAAAAGAAATGCATGCTGTTGCATATCTGTACACACTAAAAAACCAAGCCAAGGTGATAGACAGCAAACTTGTTTGTAACATCAGTGTTACATCCAGGGACCTGTAATTCCTGTGGGCCTTATGCCATTCAACTCGAGGCAGAACACTACATATTAGGACTCGGATAGTCCCAGAGAGTCACCCCTTCTTGCTGAAAGATGGAATAAATGTGAGATGCACGCTGTCGAGCTGCCCAGGCCTCACCACAGCCTTCTTGGAAATGAAACAGCCATTCTACAAAGCCATTTCTACAGCCCTTTGCTATCCCTCCCTGCATTAGAGAGAACAAAGCTAGCTACATCCTTGCCAAATCCAATTCTGTCTACATTTTATCCCACAGAAACCAGAGCATCAAACAAATTTGAAATCCTGCTTCTTAAGTAATACAAGTAACGCTTCCTGCTAAACTCGAATTGTAGCATTTAAGATGGTGTATTGTTCTTATCAATAGACTTCTTAGAGGTCCCCAACAAAAGGAGCATTGTGCAAAAAATGTCCATCTTTCAGAGCAAAAGGTTTAAAAGTGCTTCTTTCATTGCTCCACTCTTCACCCAAACATTTCTGACTTGCAAAATAAAAAGCCATTCTTTTGGGAAAGAATGTCGAGATCGAAAGATATCCATGTCCTCCACAAAGCCAAAGCAGTTCACCGGGTTCGAGAGGACTGCTTGCTGAACTGTACGGAAACCGAAAGTGCAGGGGACCTACTATGAAGAATGGTGGGGGTAGGGGGAAGAAGAAGAAAAGAGCAGCAGCAGTGGGCGAGGATTTCTAGAAGAAAAAAAAAAAAAAAAATCAGCCCATAATCACAAGCCTGTATCAGCTTAGATGATGAAGGCATGGCACTAAAACAAAAAGAAAACAAAACAAAACACCTGCTATGGATGTTCTTGGGGAGTGTGCTGATGACTTTGGCCATATCTTCATTAAACTGTAAGCCCCAGATAAAACAGAAAACTACCTGAAAGTGTTGAGAGCCTAATAAACTAAATGCTAGGCTTTTAATGCAAAACAAATGAACAGCCGGACCAGGGTCTAGAGTAGTTAACGCTAAGATAAGCGAGGGTAGGATTAGCCACAGCCTCTTGTGCATCCCTCCAGCAATAAGTCTCACTGCCCATAAATGACAAAATAGTCTCCATCCCTTTTCATACTCATGAGGAAACAGGAGAGAGGCTATGTGACTTGTTTCGAAGTAGTTCAAGGCAAAGCCATGACAACAACCTATATCCTCTGACTCAGATATATGCTATGGGTGTGTCTACACATGCATTAACATGCTGTAGTTAATGCACATTAAATCTAGTACCTCCAACACTTTCACGTGGGCTCCAGGGGTGAGGGTAAGGGGGCAGCGCTTTAATTAAAATGGCTCTGAGAGCTGCTCTAATTAAAGCACTGCAGCTTCTTGTCTATTAGCATCTCCATGCTTCAAAATTGCGGTGGGGGTACTTGAACGAAAGCTTGTTCAACAAGCTTTCGTTCAAACACCTCCGCCACCATTTTGAAGCACAGGGACACTGATGCACGAGACGCAGGAGACTGCTGGACTGTGATAATTACCACACTCCAGCAGATTCGATTAAAATGCAGGCTCGATTAATCTGTAATCTGTAATTACAGCACATCAGAGCAGACTGTGCTTTTGTATTGTGAGGTACTAGGAAAATGGCTTAATACGCATTAACAAAAGAATATGCTTTTAATGTGACACTTAACGTGCATTAGCCTCTCCTAATGCACATCAAGTGAAAAGCACATTTTTAAGCAATGCTTTAATGCACATTAAAGGAGGCTAATTCGCATTAAAGAGCATGTGTAGATACGTCGTATATGTTCAAAGCAGTCTTCTACAACATGGGTGCACAGTCCGATGAGTCGATCCCTGGTTTGAAGCTGGGAAAATTTACTGAAAGCAAATGAGTTCATGTTATGCAAAACCAGCAACCTCTTGCTTCTGAAACACATACTTAGTTCTATCTTAACATTTCTTTTGTGCCTCACTGCTTTTGTTTTCATCCTCACACGAAACTCACATTGGGCATTTATCAGTATTTGCTTTCCTCCACATTCCTCTGAAGGGGACAGATTCTTGAAAATCTTAGGCTGCATCGCATTCCTGTTCTT